GAGTTTGAACCGCCAGCCTTCTGGTTAGCAGTCAAGTGCCATTAGTGAGCTGAAATGGACTTGTGTTGGCCATTTTGAATCAGACAACCATATGATCTATGCTGGGAATGACAAATTGAAGAGGAATGGTGTGGGATTCGTTGTCACAAAGAATGTTTCATGATCTGTCCTGAAATGTGGTGTTGTCAGTGATACAATATGTCTGCAAAGAAGATGAGTTAATACTACCACTATTCAAATTTATGCACCAACCACTAAAGCCAAAGATGAAGAAACTGAAAATTTTTACCAACTTTTGCAGTCTGGAATTGAGCAAACATGCAATCAAAATATATTGCTTATTACTGGTGATTGAAATGCAGAAGTTGGAAATGAAGAATCATCGGCAGTTGGAAAATATGGCCTTGGTAATGGAAATGATGCCAGAGATTACATGATAGAATTTTGTAAGACTAACAACTTATTCATTGCAAATACTGTTTTTCAACAACATAAATGGTGGCTATACTTGTGGGCCTTGCCCGATGGAATACACAGGAATCAGATCAACTACATCTGTGGAAAGAGGAAGTGGAGAAGCACAATATCTTCAGCCAAAACACTTACTCATATGCAAACTCAAGTGGAAGCTGAAGAAAACTGAAATGAGTCCATGAGAGCCAAAATATGACCTTGATTATATCCCACCTGAATGTAGAGACCATCTGAAGAATAGATTTGACACATTGAACACCAGTGACTGAAGAACAGATAATTTTGGGATAACATCAAGAACATCATGAAGAAAGCAAAAGGTCATTAAAAAGAGAGGAAGGGAATAAAAGACCAAAATGGAAGTCAGAAGACACTGAAACTTGCTTTTGAATGGAGCATATCTAAAGCAAATGGAAGAAATGACAAGATAAAAGAGCTGAACAGAAAATTTCAAAGAGCAACTTGGGAAGACCAAGTCAATTATTATAATGAAATGTGCAAAGACCTGGAGTTAGAAAATCAAAAGGGAAGAACATGCTTGGCATTTCTCAAGCTGAAAGGACTGAAGAAAAAAATTCAAGCCTTGAATTGCAATGTTGAAGCATTCTATGGGAAAAATATTGAATGATGCAGGAAACATCAAAAGAAGATGGAAGGAATACACAGAATTACTGTACCAAAAAGAACTGGTCAGTGTTCATCTATATCGTGAGGTGGCAAATGATCAAGAACTCAATAGTACTAAAGGAAGAAGTTGAAACTGCACTGAAGGAATTGGTGAAAAAACAAAGCTCCAGGAATTGACAGAATACCCATTGAGATGTTTCAAAAAATGGATGCTGTGCTTGAGGTATTTATTTGTCTTGACAAGAAATTTGGAAGATGGCTACCTGGCCAACTGAGTGGAAAGATCCATATGGATCAGTGGAATGTGATCCATATCACATTCCAAAGAAAGATGATCCAACAGAATGTGGAAATTTTTGAGCAATGTCATTAATATCACATGCAAGCAAAAACTGTTGCAGCAGTATATTGACAGGGAACTTCCAGAAATGCAAGCTGAATTCAGAAGAGGACGTTGAATGAGGGATATCATTGCTGATGTCAGATGGATCTTGGCTGAAAGCCGAGAATACCAGAAAGATGTTTACTTGTGTTTTATTGACTATGCAAAAACATTTGTGGAACATAATAAATAATGGATAACGTTGTGGAGAATGGGAATTCCAGAACACTTAATTGTGCTCATGAGGAACCTGTTTATAGACCGGGAGGCTGTCATTCAAACAGAACAAGGGGATACTGCATGGGTTAAAATCAGGAAGGGTGTACATCAGGTTTGTATCCTTTCACTGTGTTTACTCCATTTGTATGCTGAGTGAATAATCCGAGAAACTGGACTGTATAAAGAGGGTGGCATCAAGATTGGAGGAAGACTTATTAACAACCTGCAGTGTGCAGATGACACAACCTTGCTTGGTGAAAATGAATATGACTTGAAGTTCTTACTGATGAAGATAATGACTACAGCCTGCAGCACCTCAACAGAAAGAAGACAAAAATCCTCACAAGTGGACCAATAACCAGCATCACTATAAATGGAGAAAAGACTGATGTCAAAGATTTAATTTTACTTGGATCCATAATCAACACCCAAGGAAGCAACAGTCAAGAAATCAAATGTCATGTTGCACTGGACAAATCTGCTGCAAGAGACTTCTTTAAAGTGTTGAAGAGGAAAGATGTCTCTTTGAAGACTAAGTTGCGCCTGCCTAACCCAAACCATGGTATTTTCAATCACCTCCTTTGCAGCTGGACAATGAATAAGGAAGATTGTAAAATAGTTGATGCTTTTGAGTTATGGTGTTGATGAAGAAGAATACCGAAATTACCATGGACTGCTAGAAGAACAAACAAATCTGTCCTGGAAGAAGTGCAGCTGGAATGTTCCTTAGAAACAAGAATGGCCAGACTTCATCTCACCTACTTTGGTCATGCTCAGAGCCTTTAAGAGAAGTAGTGAGTTTGGGAAGTGGCTCATAATTGCTGTCTTCGGGAGAGGGATTCTAAACAAGATTATTCATAACCAGAGATCACCCTCTTTGGAACTCCAGGCACCCCTGGCTGTGCTTGCTTGCCTTGAGGGGTTAAGAGGTCTACTGTTTCTTGGCGTGCTGAATCCCACTGGCAGTATGCTTCTAAGTGCCATTGCAGAGCTGGTGGGGAATCTCTGGTCTAGTGATTACCTGTTTAAAAAAGATGAAATTAACAATTTATATGTAGCTTAGGACAAGGAAGCAGGAAGAGGTCCACCCTGATAGGTATAATTTTTGGAATATGGTCTATCCTAGCTTCTGATCTATGCAGCATTCCTGATCACATTTCCAACCTAAAGTGTGCCAGTTTAGGATTCTGCCTTGGTAATGAGATGAAAGGCTTTGTTTGGTTTATTGTGTGAATTGTTTGAATGGGACCTGGAAACTTGGATTATTTTTCTACTTTGTCCATTCACTAATCGTGATCACCTTTACTACGTTTTGCTTTCCCTACTTCTCTTCTTTGTTCATACATTTCTTTCTTTACTCTGCATTATTTTATTTTATTTTTGTTGTCTCTGAGAAGTTAGTCCAACCTTGTCTTCTGTTGCTTCTGTAATGTACGTGGTTAATTCTGTAGCACAAGAGCATATGTAAAATTATCTTCAGCCAATTCTATCCTTGGCCTAGGGTGTATTCCTGTTCACCTACCCCCACCTCCTCACCTATCTATGCATTAATCTGTAACCTGGTATTTAGTGCTAGTGATACTGCAGTGTTGTGTATGTAATAGTATTTGCCTCTGTTGTCTGTATCTTTTGTGCACATTTCAGTGTCTTTCCTTTCCCCACTGTCATTGTGCTGGTCACAGACTCTTTCCATACTATTCCTCCCCTCATCCACATTGACCCCCAAATAGTCTGAGATTTTCCCTCCCCTTCTATCCTATTCCCGATAACCAACAAAAGTGAGTTTACTTCCCTGAATAAACTATCCTTGACTTTTTACAGTAGTAGAGTCATACAATATCTGTACTTCTGTGATTGACTTATTTCATTTAGCATAATGTCCTCTAAATTCATCCATGTTTTCAGATGATTCGTGTATTCTTCATTATTCTTTAATGTTGTATAGTATTCCGTTGTGTGAATGTACCATAGTTTGGTTATCCGGCCATCTATTGATGGGCATTTAGATTGTTTCCATCTCTTTGCTATAGTGAATTACGCTGCGATGAACATGGGTGTGCTTATGACTGTTCGTGTTCTGTCTCTCACCTTTTTAGGATATATTCCTAATAATGGAATTGCTAGATCAAATGGTATTTCTATTTTCAGTTTTTAAAGGAAATGCCATACCATTTGCCACAATGGTTGTAATCATTTTGCAGTCCCACCAGCTTCCAATCTCTCTGCACCCTCCCCAGCATTTGTTACTTTTTGTCTTGTTGAACTTTGCTATTATTTCTGGGGTGAGATGATTTCTCATTGTTGTTTTGATTTGCATCTCTCTAATCTATCTGTAGTGAAACCGCCTCGGAAACCCAAGGAGAGGTTGCTATGAGTTGGGTTCGACTTGATGGCAGTGAGTTTGGTTTGGTTTGGTTTGGTTTAATGGCTAATGATCATGAGCATTTCCTCATGTGGTTGTTTACTGCCTATCTATCCTTTTTAGTGAAGTGTCTGTTCATTTCCTTTGCCCATTTTTTGAGAAGTCTTTAGATGGATGTAAGAATTTAATTAAACATTTTTTTTCTTGCTCTGCATTATTGCCTCTCATATGTATATTTCTAGATTTAGAGTTTGAAGTTATTGTAAATGTATCTCAAATGTTATTTTCTCCACTTCTCTTCTGATTCTTCCTACCAAATAATATATTTCCTTCTTTTGGGAGGAAATGGTTTATATTGTTATTCTCTAATGGCATGTGTGTATTACAGTCTTTCTTGGAATATGGCTTTTGTCTGTTTTTATCATTTCTTTTCTTTTGTTTATAAGGCTCTCCTTGTATATCTTGCACCTTTAAGAGTTATGAAGCAATCACAATTCATCTTACTAAAAGACAACAAAGTAATTCCTTTTTTAAGCAAAAATTCTACTTACTGTAATTAGCAAGCACACATGAACTATTTTGCTTAGGCCTCTTCCAGTATGAAATTTGAGAAGTTTGGACTAAAAATGGAAAAGCTGACTTCACTTTCACAGATGGCACACCTGTAACACATGAAAAAACAGGTTTCAAAAGTGTATTCAGTTCTAAAGAAGTGTTCCTACCTTCCATTGCATCATTCATCAGGAGAATTTGTGTTGCAAATTTTGTAGTCAGGTTCATTGAATGATGTAATGGAGGAATTGATGGTAACTCAATTTTCTTCTTGATTGTGCCTATAACCATCACCAGTTTATTGGTTATTTGGAAGATATTAAAGCCAAGTATGGAGACTTAGTTCATTTTAATGCAGCTTCAGATCAGGACTTTAATTTTTTTTTTTTTTTT